TAAATCTCTAATTCTTGTGCCTTTTGCCTTTTACCTACAACTTGGAGTTTGGCTTGGCAATAAAAACGCCCCGTATAGAAACCCTGCTTAAACGGTAAATACTCATGCATTGATATGCCTAAAGATTCGGGGTCCATTATACATAATAACCATCTAGCACGATACAGTTTATAACTATTATAGAAAAGAATTTAACGCTAGGAGGAGGTACGTTGATAATTTTCACGCAGTTGTCCAGTGCTCTAAAATCAATGAGCTCTCAGAAGTTAAGAGTACATGCTGTACATGCGACAGTAGGCAAAAATACCTCTCTATGGAATTTAGGCCTACAAAACTACTGAACTGCACGCACCAACATTGTTTTCCCGTTTCCTGGAGGTCCGAAGAGAAGTATTCCCCTGACTGGGGATCTCAGACCAGTAAAGAGTTCAGGACGGAGAGCCGGATAGATGACGGTTTCGCGGAGATGTTCCTTAACCTCCTCATTTCCAGCTGAAGAGAAGGACAAAATCAAAGGATAGGAACACAGCCAGAACGTGCCTAGTGTTACAAAGATAGGCCTACGATAACTAGTTGAAACAAAGTACGAATATGGGTAAATTTGCTAGTCTGCTTTAGTTAGTAAGGCCGACGTCTGTGGTCAACAGTGTACGATTTATCTCCGAAAAAAGCTATGCATAGACAAACATCCCATTGATTGGCTAAGGTGTCCGTGCCTCGCCCCCACTTCTTAACACAAGATTCTGCAAACCTCGCTTACTGAAACATTATTTTCCCGAAATTTGAACAAGGTGAAGATCCCGAAATTAGCAGAATGTATTGACGTCATACAATTTTGCAGCCTTTTATTCAACTACAAACGGTCGTTGCCTATAAATAAGATAAATTAACTGTCAAATTAAGTATCGGCCTCGATAGGTAAATAGAGTAGAAACGATTAGTCTTAGATGTGGACGTATGGTGAACGGGTGGAGGAGGGGGGGTAGTTGTCACAGCATGGCAGTTCATGTTAGTTCATTTTCATGAAAGTCTGTGAGACATGGTTAAAAGGGAGAGAAGTGGCAGAGGACGAGGTAGCGGTCAGTCATAAGGGGAGCGAGGAGGCGTGAGAGAGAATGAATTTATCGATCGTTACCACGACAATGCGAGGTTGATCACATGATCCAGCTGCTTAGAGTTCTGGTTTTCTTCTCAGTATTGCAGTGACCTCCGCATCTCGTACGAGACGCTCGGTTGTCGCCCGAACTATGACCTTAAATGCAATCTTTTGGTCGACCGCATGGCCAGTGTCCACTAGGCGCTTCGTGATGGAACTCTTAGATATTTTATTTTCCGCTCTGATCAACCACTTCAGCATACGTTCAGCTGACCGCGTTGCGAACTGCCCTTGCGTGCGCCCGATGTTTTTGCATCCGTAAATACATATTAACCCGTAAATACGGTTTGGTGTGCCGTGCATAGGCAGGATTTCTTTACTTGGTCAAAGTGTAATAGCCCTTGTTGTGCTTATGTACAATAATTTAGAGGCGGGCTAAGTTCTTTCAATCGTGCGTCGAAGCCTTCGGTTTATTACTTTGAATACATTATTGCCCTTGAAAGGGAGTAATATGCTCACTGGTTTTTTGGCACTGATATTTCGGGAGGATTTTGTTGTCTGCGGTTGCGATACTTATCAATAAATTTCTCCGGATAGCCTTTTCGAAGAAACACCTTCTTGAGGAAACTCATCACTTCATCGATCGTGTTCGAAGAACAGATTCCCGCGGCTCTATTGAAAAGACACAAAACTGAGTTTCGTTTCCTGTGAATTGGAACGAACCAAGAAAGTGCATGTATTGTCCTTTCCATTTGGTTTTCCGATAAATGGATCATTGAATGGAACCATCTGCCCGCCTGCGTATAAGCACGTCTAAGAACGCCATGCACGATTGTAAATTTGGTCTTTGCATGAGCCTTGTTCATAGCTTTAAGTAGCTGTTCTCCCTCTTTAGGTTTTCGATTATGGTAAAAATGTCATCCACGTATAGTCTATCGAAAGCAGTTTCTTCTAAGTGTTTGGCTAATTCTCGTTCAATGTTCGACAGGAAAGTATCCGCTGGGACTGGTCCTAATGGACTGCCCGTAGCTACGCCATCAGTCTGTCGATAAAACTGTCCGTTGAACAGGAACTGTAAATTCTTCAGGCATATCTGTAGTTGTTCTCGTAGTTGGTCTGCTTGCAGCCGCATGCTCACAAATTATGTCAATGGTTTCATTCAGTGGCACGGTTGCGAACAGACTTCGCACGTCAAATGAGATCATGTGTTTATTAAGAGGTCACTAAATTGTGTGACGTCAATAAATTCTGCTAAGTTCGTCATCTTTGCCTTGTTTGAACCTCGTTAAGACATAGATTCAAAAATTAAGCGTACAGCAGTTACCAAAGCGGACAGCGTATGTTTGGCTTTAAAATACTGCTTACTTGTGTGTAATTATTACATTCAGTTGACCCAATTGTGAAAAATTCGCGGCCTCGATGGGAGTCGAACCCACACAGCAGGGAAAGCTTTTACGCAGCCAACGCTCTACCATTGAGCTACGAGGCTCACCGTGCGCCGTTTATTTAACCACATTTGGATCAATTTTACCCGTCTAACTTACTGCTTGTATGGAATCCTCCATTACGGATACAATAAGTTGACTGCCCAGGCAGGATTTCCTAAGCAATAATCTAGTTGGACGGGTAAAATCGACCCAAGTGGGATTAAATTCACGGCGCACAGTGAGTCTCGTAGCTCAATGGTAGAGCGTTGGCTGCACAAAAGCCTTCCCTACGGTATGGGTTCGACTTCCATCGAGGCTGCGAATTTTTCATAAATGGGTCAACTGATTTAAGAAAATCCACCAAACCCCCCTAACAATTATTAGTAAACACAAACTGTAACATTAAGGAAGGTGCAACGCAAGACAAAACTATAAAAGACGTAGAATTTATAAAAACTGGTTTGCGCGGTCTACTATAAGGAAAAAACAACGACAAATATACAATACACATAGAATCTGAAAGATTGGACCTACAAATGCAGAATCTACTAATTTTGTAGAGTTCTGATCATTACTTTGTCCGCTACTCGTGGAAATTCGTTTTCTTTTAAGTGAAAACGCCTACTGCGCAACTAATGGTATCAAGGTCATATGTTTACCAATATCATCGAAGGAAACTTGAGAACAGTCAGTCAATACATCGTCAAGAATTTTCGTCACGAGGGTTTGGTCATACTT